GGGAGAGGCGTAGGGGTTTGGGGAGGACATTTAGGGGGGTCCAGGACTTCCTCCCACACCCACCTCCCCCTCCCCATAGGTGAACGAGTGCGTGGTGGGCACAGCCCATGCCAACCGGAAGTAGACCCCTCCCAGGTCCCGCCTCCGCCGTTTCACCGTTTTTAGACATCCCCAATAAAGGTTCTCCTGCGGCTGGGGCTGATTGGTTGCTGGCAGTCACGTGCCCTTAGAAGGTGGGAGCGAAAATGGCCCTGTCCACAGGGGAGCCGGTGCTGGGGATACCGCACGTTGATTTGCTGCGTCTTGTACGGTAGCATGGCGGCGCAAGTACGGGTCTACTTCCGGTTTTGCGGGGAGCGCATGCGCGGCAGACCCCTTACACGGCAGGGGGTTGCGGTCTTAAAGGCGCAGCGGCCCCGCTAAGCGGCCGTGGGGCTATAGGGGATGTGGGGTGGGGATGTGTAAGGGTAGAGGGCTATGGGGCAGCCCTATATGGGGGGGGGGGGGCTATAGAGGGCCAAGGCCCTATGGGGGGGGGGGGGGGGCCCTAAATGGGGCCATTTAACCCATTTTTGGGAAAATTGGCTGAAACTGCTACATCTTTTATCATCCCTGGGGTTTCATAAAATTAGAGTTAATAAAGTTAGAAGTAAAGAATGAATCCAAATTCTGGCAGTTTGGGGTCACCTTTTGCTTTGCTCCTTCCCATTTTGGGTGGAAAAGCGCACTATTCCAGTCATATTTTGAAATTTAGGCGGGAGGACAGTGGAATCGGGGCACAGGAGCTGAGATTTAATGCCTTTATAATGCTACATCAAATTTCACCTCAAAACCAAGTGATTTTGGGGTGGTTTTGCTTTTAATATCACAATGTCTGTTTTTATACCCACCCGGAGTGTTGTATTTACTGTATTTGTAATATATTATGCTGAAAACCTGTTGCCTTTAATTGCTTTTTAATTTCCTCACCATGTTGCTGCAAATGACCCTAAAACCTGCCACGATTTCTCCGCTTTCAGCCTCAAAATCTGGATTATTAGGGAAAACAGGAATGTGTGAGTAAATGCATACATCTATGTTCTCCTACATACATATATACTCTCCTCCACACATATACAACCACCAAATTGTCCTTATCCTCTTTTCATTGCTCCACAGCCTTGTGCTACATCCACATTCATTAAATACAGCGCTTTTTCAGCTCTGTTACCTGTTTTACTTCATTTTTGCCCCAACTTGAGCAGCTGCCACTCCTTTTTTTCCCCAGTTTTTCCCTGTAAATTTGGAAGCTGGGGGGGGCTTTAGGGAATTGGGGAAACCTCTGGCATTAAGCCGTACCCAACCCTTTCCTGCTCCCTTGGAGGAACCAGTCTCCTCCAACGGGCTCCATTTTGTTTTAATTCATTATTTCTTGTAAGACAGTTGAGGTAAACGGGAGGGGATGGGTTTAGTCCTGTTTAATGATTTTATAGTTGGGTTAAGGGCAGCAGCGCCTCCCCAGAGCCCTTTGCTGCCCTGTTTTGGTCAATATAATATTAATTATGATGAATAATTCACTCTCAAGCCCCAGGGTTGTGGATTCTGTACCTGACATGGGCCTCAGGCTACTCTCCACCCCCCGAGGTGCTGTGACTGGGCTGCTGCCTTCCCCCCTCTGTCTCACATTCTCCTCAGACCCCACCACATGAAGCCAAAAGGGTCCTGGGAAACACCGGGTACTCCTTCAGCCTCGGTTCCCCTGTCCCGTCAGCCCTTCCTGCCTCCGCTACCTTCCCCCTCCCCGTTCAGCTTCGGGTCGCGTAATGGCGGCGGTTCCCTTCACGCCGCCGTACTGCGCATGCGCCAACGCGCCGAGCAAGGGACGGACGGAGGCGAGTGTTTCTCGGCCGCCGTAGCACCGCGCATGCGCAATACCCCCACTCCCGTCGGCGCCATCTTCTCGCCCGTCTGCGCGCCTGCGCACTGCCGTCTCTCCCGGCCGGTCGCCCTCCGCGGCGAGAACGGCGCTGACGGAGCGGTACCGGGCCCGGCGTTTCCCGCCGCTTTCCCCTCCTTCCTCCCGGGCTGTAGGCGGTGTTGGAGGGGGGGGTTATGACGCGCTCCGGCGGCGGGGAAAATGGCGGCGCCCAGGGGCCTCCGCCGCCGCCCGCTCCCGCTCCCTCGCCGTGCGCCAACATGGCGGCGCCGCCCCGCGGCCCCGGATGAGAAGCGACGCGTCGATTGGCTTTCCCGCCGCGACCCCGCCCCCTCCTTGTACGGTGTCATGGCGGCGCCCGCTTCCCCGGTCCGGTCGAGTCCTACTTCCGGTCTTGCGCAGTACGCGGCGGCCGCCGCTCGGTGTGGCGGCGCTCGGGCGCCGGAACGGACCGAGGAGG